AACTCTTTTGTGGATATGTGCTCACAGCAGGTCGAAAATCACGATATTGGAGACAAAGTGCACATATTGTGTGGACAACAGGGACAGAGATTTGTGTATTGCATGTATTTGTATGCCGGGAGACTTTGCTGATAGGGCTCCATGCTACCAGTGGGAATTCTTGAGCAGTGGTAGGTAGGCTGTCACCCCAACTCCCTCGTACCTATGCTGTGACCTTGCTTCTTTGCTTTACATCAGCTTTCTCCTTCTATGCAGCGCTGACAAAGAGATTTGCAGAGCCGGCCTGGCACTGCAAACTCTGAAACACTTCTTCTGGTGATTGAGGGGCCACAGATGCTTCAACATACCCAGATGCGTGATAGAATTTCATGCAGCCGGTCAGCCATTTAGATCCAGAAACCGCACAACACAGCTTGGCAGCCCGACTTTTTCTGAGCATAGTTCTCAGATGTCGGATTGAATTCTATATCCTGAGGGTACGTCGCAGGACAAATCGGGCAAACCAAGAGAACACTCTGCTGATGGGAATTCTTTCGCAACCATCAGTATCTTGGCATATCAAGGGAGGGCCATTTAATTTTGTATTTTTTTGTTTCCATTTTGTTTTTTTTGTTTTTCGTGGCTTCTGGCTTCTGTGGCTTCTGGCTTTTGTGGCTTTTGGCTTTCGTGGCTTTCGTGGCTTCTGTGGCTTTTGGCTTTTGTGGCTTTTGTTGCTTTTGTGGCTTTTGGCTTTTTGGCCTATCCATCTATCTGTCTATATCTATATCTGTCTATATCTATCTATTTTTCTGTCTTTCATTCTTTCTTTTTGGCAGCTGTTCTCCTTTCTCTTTTTGCATTTGCTTTTCCTGTTGTTTTCGTTGCAGAGACGAAACCAAACAAGGAAGCAAGCAAGCAAGGAAGCAAGCAAGCAAGCAAGCAAGCACGAGCTGCTCACCTTTGGATCTGGTGTGCTGCTGGGGGGGGCGCTGCGCCCCCCCGAACCCCCCCCGCGCCACGAAATCTGCACTTCATCCCCGACACCCGCGCCTGCCACTAAATCAATATTTTAAGGTGAACTCCCCGGTGCAAAACTTTCTAACCAAGCAAATATGCCTCCTCTATCTATCTGTCTGTCTGTCTGTCTATCTATCTGTCTATCTATCAGCCTTTCAGCATCGAATGGCCACGCCCGGCCACGCAGCCATGACTTGGCTGCACTTCTTTGGAGTCCGTGCTTTGCTCCTCCTGGTTTGGTTTTCTGCTGGACCTTTGGATTGGTGGCTGCCCTATGTTGCTGGCCGTTCTTTGCTTGCCCGGTCCTAATTCCGGGTCCGTTCCTGAGCACCTTGGTGAGTTCAACACACATTGTTGGAGCGGAAAAGGGAAAGGTTGGATAGTGGCCCAGCACTATCCTGGAAGGGGAAATCAAAATGTGATGTTCCACCGAAATCACCCTTAACTTCTGGGCGGAGGGCTTGTAGGATCCCACGGGATCACCAAACAAAAACGAAGCCTGATGCTTGTGTACAAACGATTGGCACTACATGGCTTTGCTCTCTACGGGGGGCAAATTTTGATGAAGGCACCCAATTGGTCTCCGCAACCTATGAGCTTGAGAGATCCAACTCCATTTCCGTATTGGCTAAGTCAAAGGATGGGAATGACGGTGATGACCTGGAACAACATGGTCCTTCCAACTACATCATTCACTCAACTCATGCAGTGGTTCACACGGCAGATGGCTGATGTGATATTCCTGCTATGCATACACTGGTCAATTGCAGACCTGTTTCCAGGACGTCTACAACATGTATGTTGTCAAGGTCAAGGACACTGTCTCGACCTCCTGTATTTTGACCCGTTCCCGGTCAGTGAATTTCCTGATCATTGTCCCCAGCTTGGATCAGCTCCTGCAGATGCCAGTGGTGCAGGATCTACAGAATTGCTCGAGGACGTCACCGTTGTGATGCAACTCCCTTGGCAGAGTGCATTTGAGATGGAAGAGCTACTCAATCCTGAACTCCATGAGATGCTGTATGCTACCAGGGATCTGGAGAATGTTGCCTATCCTCCTATGTTGCAGATTGACAATCATAACAGTCATGGGCCTGATCTTTTGCGCACCTACCTTGCTGCAAAGGTTGACATTGGATCACGACCTCTCTTCACGGTCTTCACCTGGGGCATCCAACACCAGGTCTCATTGGTGGCTCGGGTAGGTGTTATGCAGCGTGACAGGTCCTGCATGATTTCGCTACTTCATTTATGGCAAGATCTTGAAGGAAAGCAACCTTTGTTTGTGACTCTGGCCACTCCACAGCCTGACCCTTTGACTCTTCGCATACCCCCTGCTGACCTCATCATATTGACAAATGAGCAACGGCAGAGAGGAGAGCGGATTTTTCTGGTTGATGTCTTATTTTCAACACTTCCAAAGTGAATGGCCGTTGTGTATCAAACTGGAGAACTTCTGCGAGATTTGGTGTTGAAGGCAGGCTTGGGTGAATTTTGTATCAACACAAAAGCCAAGTGCGTACTGATACAGTTCCAAGATGGGGCACGATCTCGATGGGAGTATATGCAGAAAATTCCAGGCCACATGGCTCGACCTTTGAGATGATTTTTGAGGACACCTCAACAAATGAAACCTGTGATGATGACCAGCAGGCACAATTCCCTCCAAGAGACCTAGACGACGACGAAGATACCACCATTTTGATGCAGCTGAGCGGAGACGACGCTGCAACTCCGAATGATGGGTCTGGGTTGGAGCAAGGTCGAGGGAGGACATCAATCCAAGCCTTCCTGCGTGCTTGCTGGCTTCGATCCTTCTGGGAGCCTCCTCTTATCCTGAACCATGAGCTTGTGGCTCCAGCATGGATATGGCACAGAGATGACATTGTCCGTGGACATTTTCAAAGACAAGCCTTCCAGAGAGGCAGACCTGCTCTACAGGGCTGGCTGTTCACGAGCAATGAACAAGAGGTGGGAAGAGAGTTTTCATGGGGACTCCAGCCTCCTGAGAACTGGTCTCAACAGCTCGAACATCTGTTGAGAGCAGGATTGCTGCGTTCAGCTGGTTTTACGGCGCTGCCTCAAAGGCTGTCCTACCCCTTGGCTGAGCAGAACATTGATGTGAGACTTGTCTTTCTGCCAGGGGATTACTTCCCAAGCAATGGTCTTGTGCTGGTTGTAGCTTTGTCCTTTGATCGAGCAGCAGGTCTATGGGCTGTCCGCTGTGGAATTCCATGTACGCCATTGATGCTGTTCCATCAGCGTGGACAGATGGCAGTCTGTGGCATATGGACATTGTGCCAAGTTCATTTCAAACATAGAGATTGCTGGAAAAGATTTACAGACACTGAAACGATACTATTGCCGGTTGCATCTCTGGTTGATCTGGATTTCAAGCCCAGCAATGTCAAAATTAATCAGTGTGAAAGCGTCAAGGTTGAGG